TTAACCATCCATGCAACCAGGTTTCTATATATAATGCAGTGCGCTAACAACTCTGCCACTGCTTCCCCATCACAAAATACAAAATGGTCTTCATTTTATCTATCCCGGCGGAGGGTGATGATGAGCCGGGCCAACCCGCAACTGGGTTTTTAACTCGTAAACCTTTCCATTGTGAGTCGAATGAGCCACCTAGCCAATAACCCACGTACACACATGTTGGGCTAAACGCAGGAGGCTTGGCTGCTGGGCTATCGCAAAATGACGTTAACAGAGGGCATATGGTTCTGTGTGAATCTGTCACCCGGCGTTGCCCCTTGCCGTGTCAACCGATGCCCTCTCTGCGGCAGCTACAGCAGCTATGCTTGGCATGCAGATCCTTCCTCTCCTCCTCACCGCCGTCACCGTCGTCACCATCGTCGCATATATACAGCGTGCGTGTGCGCGTGCGTGCGCATCAGCTTGCTGTGCGCAGTGAACCCTACTATAGCCAGCTTAGGCTGAGTCTCCACACTGCTCCTCTTCTTCCAGACAGCCATTCAGTCCGCTATTGTAACGCGTGAATTGGCGCGGTGCTAACGCATACATTTACACTTTGGTGTGCTTGGGCAAGAACTGTGTGCGTGCGTGTTTTTACCTTGACAGCTACAAACACGATTCGTGCAAATGGGTACTATGGTGGGTATTTACTGTGCTTCTAGTAATGATAATCATGTATTTGACTTGTGATCGCTCGCTCTCGAGGAGAGAGCGACTCGGAGGCACAAGGAACCACATGCGGGATGGCAGCCAGGCGGTGAGCCGGCACCAACAATTGCCCAAGATCTGCGGTGTATTAATATAGTGTGTATTGCAAGTGCAGGGCGTTCATAAAGGTATGGCCCATTCTTACATTAAAAATCTTGAGTAATCTACAAGAGCAACATAACATCAGAAGCATTCAATATCATGCCTTTCGAGATGTTGGTGCACACCGGGGACAAATCTAGTGACGATGGACGTTACAAATGCCACGGTGATGAATATTGTTATGAAAAAAAATGCGCTCCCATTTAGTCTGTACGTGTTTGTGCATAGATAATAAAAAGTTCAAGTTTGTGTGTCTGTGGAGTATCAATATGGCTAAGAGTACTATCTCATCATAATGATCTCAGATATTTTACCTTTATGGACACCCTGTATATTGAACAGGTAACATTTCCAAAGACAGTTCATAGACATTAATTTGTACTGGTTAAATAGATTTTGAGCACGGCAAACTGCTGTTTTCAATTATTCGTGTTATTTCTTATGATTATATACTAGCTTATTTGCCCGTCAAAGGACGGAAGCTGTAATATTTACGAAAAAATTGAGCTGAGTATAATTGTATCTTGTGCAAATTTAATGGCAGTGAATCTTGCACGAAACTACGTAATACAACACCTCACTTCATGTCAATGTAGCACTGTTCAAATTCACTGCTCTGATACTTTATTCTCTTCTGCTTTCAGTCACTGGGGTTGAAATAAATTTGAAATCGATACAATATCTGGAAAATCACTGAGAAATGTCTTTTACCATAATGTAGAAGCATAAATTAGACTTACCTTTTGTCTGAAGTGCTGAAGAAATACAGACACCAAATCCACTTTGTTGCTGTGTATAATTATTTATTAGCTTCACTTTCAATAAAGAAACGTCAAACTTAATGCGAATTTGCGAAAAAATGTCTTTCCACTCAACCTTCTTCTGCATGAGTGTAAAAGCCCACCCGCTCATGAATATTAATGACTTGGGGGGGGGGGGTGCGGCATGTGGAGTGACGTCACGCGCGGGACACACAGACAGACATTCTTGGCTCATTATAGTAGTAATGCACAAACACGTACAGACTGCACAGCCTAGATGGGAGTGCATTTTTTTGTTCGTAACAATAGTCATAATTTGTCTCTCCTATCTGGCCGCAAAAGTGGCTCAGAAGAAATCACCGAAGGAATGCATTCCCCTCCTACGGCCCGAGAGGCAGGAGGAATTCTTTGCCTTGCGAAAAACACGGCTGTGTATTAGTTCTGGGAGCACGCTGTGTCGGACGATCGCTCTAATCCCCCCCCTCCCCTTTCTCTCATCGCAGCGCCACAGTTGACAGCGTGAGTGATAAGCTATGGCCGTTCGATCAGACCGGGTGACGGGCATGGCTGTGCGCAGTTGCTTACGTTTTCAATAAACATTCAATGGCTCGCTGGTATACCAGAGTAGGTGCGGTGCGATTAGCAACCAAAGTTATGGCAATAAGTATGCTGGGTGTGGTGTGCCGGGTGATTTTTTTTTTATAGGTCGCTGCTTGAATTGAGTAGGTGCCACGTGACTTGTAACCATAGCGATAGTGAGAGGTATACTGGATGCGGTGTGCCGGGTCACTGATCCCTGACTGACCCTGCTGAAAATAAGCCCTGGCTTACACCCCTTGCATGGTTGTCATGCACAGGGGTCTCTGCTCAATATGAGCACCACCCTACACAGGGAAGGCTCAGCATGGCTACTGCCTACACAATATATTTACCGAATGAGGCCGGAACATAATTGTATTTTTACTCCTTGTACAATGAGCTCAGCGAAACGGGATTTATAATACAATTGTGGGTATTAACGCAAAGGAAATGCGTGCTGATAGGCCATAAATATGCGAATTAGTGGAGTGAATGCAGTAATTAAGATATTGTCAGATTTGTTGAATTCATATTAAAATCGTGTACGAAAAGCGAATTTATGGTGGCTTAAAAAGTAATGGAGTGGTGGTGCAGTGGTTAGTGCAGTGTTCTATGAACCAGGCCATCTAAGTTTGATTCCCAGCCATGGCAAACATCAATGGAGAGTCATATCTAAATGGGCCTATCCCCCTCAACCCCTCCCCCCCAACCCACCCTTCACCAACCCACACTGAGCAGTGTGGTGAAGTATTTCAATTAGCCCTCACCTGTTTTGTATAAAGGTCATCACTCAGCAAAATAATCAGAAACATGTGAAATATATATAATCGGGGGCTATTATCGGTTTATCCAAACGAGCGAAGGATTGCTCGCATCGGCATTCAGCCCCATCGAGGAGTGCGCGTCTCGGTTACACGATGAGGGCGGCACTCCTTCCAAGTCCTGGCAAGGATCTCGCAGACACGTGTGTGTGTGTGTGTGCGCGCGCGGCGCTACAGAGACATCGCTGCGCCTCCTAATCCCACGCGGACAAAGTTTAGTTAATCAGTGTTTTATGCTCATCTGTCGACCGTAAGGTATAAATGGAGGCGGGTGTTCTAAGCGAGGGTTAAATAAAGCAGCTCTTCCAGCTGAGTGGAACACCGGAGGTGTCGGCACGGCTTCGACAATGTCAAGTTTGGTGGCTTCTGCCAATCACCAGACAAAGGCACAGATTCTGTACATTGTGGTCCGCACCACACCCTGTCATAGCCATGCAGTCGGCCCACAATGCAGGCGTGTGTGTGTGTGAGAGAGTCTATGCATAATCTACCTGCGTACCTGGGGAATTCCATCGGCCATGCCACAGTAAAGTCCGCACACTATATTTACACAGGCGTGCATGCAGGTGTGCGTAAGTATTCATGAGTGCGTGTGTCAGCAGGTTACCTTTGGTGTGGGAGCATGTCTGCGTTTGCGAACATGGCTGTAATTTTTTATATGTGCAGTTTTAAGTCAGCATTTAATTATTTCAATCTAGAGCCCTTAATCAATCCGTTGTTGGATGAAGCCTTTCCGAGACGTTTCAGACAAAGGGATTGTTTAATAATATTTCACCACGATAGACAGAATTAGTTTGTTAAAAGGGAGGTCCAGCACCAGTTCGGATAAATATAATCATTGACCGCTCATGCTATTCGTGGCCGGGAACTTAATTCAGCTCACCGGGTTCCGAGCGCCACCGCATGTATGCGTGAATCATTAAAATCGCTGTGGAAAACACATCCTGAATAAATAGATGAGAAATCAATGCATACTCTGACAGCCTGTCCTCATTAAGTTTGCATATGTGAAATCAATGTTTACAATGTAATTAGACATGTGTTTGCGCACGTGCATGCATGTGTGAGCACAGAGTGTGAGCACAGTAGTTTAAGCACTCCGCTACGATCGCAGCTACTAATGGCTTACATCACTGGAGATTGCGTATCTGAAACTATCCTGGTACTCATCCTTAAATGAGTACCAGGTGCAGAATGTAAAGATCATCAGTGGGCAGACAATGGTAACTGGGCATGATGCTGACATCACGGCCCCCTTGGGCGCCATGCCAGCCTTAATAGGTGCTCGCTAACAACCCTTGCCCTAACAGTCTATGCAGACGAAACGGGGAGGGTGGTGGCGGGGGGGGAGTTGTGTCTTTGTGTGGTTGTGTGCGTATATGTGTGTGAGCTGAGGCACATTCCGATAGTGTGGTTGGCTGACCCATTGTAATACAATGGAGGCCTTGTCAGTGGCAGCCAGAGTGGCTGGAAGTGAGGCCACAAATGATCATGCAATTATGTGTCTGGTGGCCGCTTCCTCTCACGGCCCCGAGTCCCACCAGGGTAGGTGGGGCCTCAGGAGCACCGTGTTTAAATAAAGTGATAATTGCTGTCAGGGGGACTGGGTTAAAAATGGGCCTCTGTGTAGCTCTTTAAAAGTCGTCAGGTATGCATTTGCCACATGGTCCCTCAGCATCTCATCTGTGTGCAGGGGGAAGGACGGAAACCTGAGCAGATATCAAACACTTCGACAAGGGCCCAAAAAATAATGCAAAATCATCTTCACTAATGGCCTCGCAGTGACAATACTTGTTGTCACCACACCTTTAATGGAAATGTATCCAGAGACGCACATTACCAGACAATGGGGCAACAGTCATGGGGGATGAATTAAATAAAATAAAAACAATTACCATTCATTATATGTAAATGTCTTGCAAAGCTATCAGAGTGGCCACGATGATTCGATACACTTTATGATGAAGCAGTAGGGAAGAAAAAACACTCGTACCTTTTTTTGACTTGGCTCCGATTTTCAACTTTGAGGGCCACGTGATGTGAGTGTTAGTTTCTCCCATTATCTGTAAAAAAAACATGACAGAGCAATTTGTGTCCAAATTTAATTAAATTAAATACACACGAGTGAACAAAAGACATCAGCATTCATTGAGACAATTAAAACTAAAGTTTTGTGCATGAGAATGGAGAAAATCTTGTACTAGCTGTAAGCTTCCCACAGAGAGATTAATACAATAATGCTAAATTATTTGTTAATACGAATTGGGAACGTGACTGGCACAGTTTTTTCGCTAACTAGGATCAAGGTGTCCATGTGGCTTGAGGCGGCTGGCATTGTATTAGACAGCACTGAGCTGCCACCACTGAGATCCCGAGTTTGAATCTGAATTTCAGCAGCCCACGACGATCAAACACGGCTCTCTCTCGTGCGACGAGTGAGTCGATGGCATCAGCCCGGTCAATTAACCCATCACGTCAAACATCGGTTGTCATTTGATTTAGCATATTCCAGCTCTGAGAATTAAAAATGTTGATATGATTGACATGTAATTAACTTGACATGCAATTACTTCGGGGAATATACAAAGTGTGTGTGTGCTCCTGATGGGGATAAAGTGGCCTCTTGCAGTGACTTTAGAAGGAGGTGATGTCATCTTATAGGGCCGTTCTCTCACATGTAAAGGCATGGTGACACTGCTCACCGCCAGCTTCTCAAATGAGAATGTATGCGCCATTGAATCATGCCAATAGCACATATGGAATATAATTTGGATAAATAAAACCAAAAAGATACTTAAGAGCTAGGAAACCCCCACCCCCTCTGCCCCACTAAATCTCACAGCAAAAATCACGTTCAAAATTTCCAAGAGACATTTTTCCCCTTGCATAGTGATAATAAATGAATGCCTAAATAGATTAAAGATTGATTCCTCAATGTTCCCAAGAAAGAGGCAGCACCAAACGCTTTGAAGAGAGGGCACACGTGGCTTTAACCAGAGGGTTCTGGTTGGCACGGCACGCATGCTTGCTGGGCACGCCATTGACAGCTGCCATTACGGTGCTGCCATTACGGTTCTGCCATTCCCTTGCACCGTGTCCTCCCTTTGAGAGACAAAGGCCAAATATAAAGGCGATGGAGCGCGGGCACTCGGAGTGTTTGTGTACCTAAGCAACCATGAACCAGGGCTTTTTAAGGGATATTTGAACTCTGGCCACAGGGCTCTTTCGTGTATTTGTGCAAGTATGTGAGCATGTGTTACGTGATACAGAGCAACAGTTACAACGGTTACAGAGTTGGATACCAAGCTATAGTAACTATTACTGTTTAATAGCTGACCGTGTATAGAGTTAACACTGACCAGAGTTGCTTAACAATGACCATATAGGTGAAAAACAGTTAAAATCGGCCTTGACATAAACACCTGGCACTCACGCCGCCTTCAAGGCCTTGGTGTAAGGCACAGTGATGTGAATTCTATGTATAGTGATACTGTGAATTTTGTTAATCGTAATTCCAGTATTTATATTTTCACTGCATGCACATTAATGGTGCATAACTCATGTTTGTATTATGCAACCAGTGTGTGTGTGTATCTCATTATGAAAATGCATGTAAAACACGATTGGGAATTCTGCAAGTCACGTAAGTACTCTAACCTGTAAATATCGTAAAAACACATCGTAATGAAAAATAATGCATGCTGGAAAACCACAAGTTTTAAACAATATTGCAAAACTGTGTAAAATGCACTGAGCCTTTGTGCCTTGTGCAAACACCATCAGCTGTTCCTGAAGAAGTGCATTGTGGGTCCTGCATTGTGGTTGATGGTGACCCGAAGACAAGAGTACCTCAATGCACTTTTTCAGGAACTGGTGATGGTTTTGTATAATGCAAAAAGTCACGGCGGTATTACCACACTCCCACACCAATGCTACACTGGTAGAAAATTGGACTCTAAAAGTATAGTGAAACTATGTCATTGGCTACAGATTGTCATAAAGCGCTATCGTATATCAACAATACGCATTCCTTTCACTACTCTCTTTTCAAAGGAAATTCAATGGCAAAAAATGTGTGTTCGACCCAGGTTAAAATGCTGCCGACCGAGCGAGCATGAGAGCAGTGGTGGACAATGCATGATCCATGAGATGCACTCCCCAGTGATAGAAGTGGCTCCTTGTTGAGGGGGCAACAGCGTCTGCTTTGGAATTTCAAGTCTCAGGTGACAATGTGTGCAGGTGGTCTAATTAATAATAGGAAAACTAAGGCAAACGTGATGATGATGCTGCATCAGTGCAGTTCACCTGGGAAGAAGCGTAGGCTGTGTGTGCCCATCTGTGGGAGACAGCCGTGATGATAAAGCCCCGAAAGCCACTGCCAGAGCATTCCAGATTCTCAATGGGTCTCTATGTGAGTCTATGGGTCTCTGTACGAGTTTGTGGATCTCTATGTGAGAGAGCATTGTTGATGATGAAGCCACTGACAACGCATTCCAGTTTCTCAGTGAATCCACCCGCACGCGTTATCACCTGAGATTCGAACACCCATGGCGGGACTTTACTTTTCCCCAACTTGGAGCCACAAGACCACCGCTGGCGCCCATTGAAGAGGGGCAGTGATAAAATATCACTATCACTACATTCTTCACCCTTCCTCTCCTCATCTACCCCTCCCTTAAAAACACCATGTTCCCAATCGTCAGCTCCATACGAGAGTAGGGCAGCGAGCCCAGTCACATTTTGCCGGTCCTATCCCGAGTTTGTTGCTCGTAAGTGGCCTGGTTTTGTTCCTCCCTGATGTGCGCGTTCTGTATTTGGGCTCTGGTGTCATAAAAAAATATATATAAAGAATAAAAAATATCCCTATCACGTGGCGCTTGCTGCCTTTGCCTTTTGGTTGCAAGCACAGTGATGGGAAGCATCATTTGCACTTAACAAAGGAAAGCAACTGTGCATGGCTATAGCTGTGTCCTGTGTGTTTGACAAGAAAAAAACCCAAACGACTTCCTGGAGAAAAAGAAGAAAAAACCCATACGCACCTTCGGTTATCCATCTCAGCCTTTAAGCGTTTGCGCATCAATGCAAAAATGCTGCTGTGAATTTAGCAAAACTGGTTTTGCATACTTTTCCTGGCAAGGTAGCCTAGTGTAACCCGCTTCTCAGTGTGTAACACACTCATTGGCCCAATAGGGGCATCCCAGTTGGATTTTAACCAATTTCTAAAAATAGCCATGTCTTCGTATATATAATTTCTTGGAAAAAACACCCATGAAAATAAAAAGAACTGTGCATAAATTATGAGTGTCATATATACATACACTTTACACATAAGTGTGAATGTCAGACATACGCTTAAGAATTTTAATGCATACTCTCGGATATTATTTACCGATTACCATCATAACCATTAATAGTTGTATTAATAATTCACAATTCACGACAAAATTATATACGTACGAACAGAGAACATGAATTTAATTATTTTCACTGAGTTTATGATACAGTCCAATGAGGGTTTAATCTGCACTATCGTATTGTACATCGAAAAAAGTTTTGCCGGCTGGATGAATATCTGCCTGGCTAGATGCCTGCCTGGCTGGATTCCTAGCATGTGGGCAAGCTTGTATGCGTGGTGGTGACATCACGGCGCACGTCTGCATCGCCTCCATCCCACATCGTTGAGCTGGGTTAGTGCGTCGTGCTCACGTCAGACCTTTGCCCCCTACCCATCCTCCAACTCAGCCATGGATCCCACTCAAATACGTGGGCAGTGCTATCATACTATATTAGAAAAAAAAGTGTTGATCCCTGGCTAGCTGGCTGAAGGGAGAGGTAGGAGAGAAGTAGGGATGGATGGATGGACGGTCACCTCCAAAGGAAGTGGGCTTCTAATAGTGATTGTGTACTTCAGCGGCCATCTAGAATGCCCTTCCTTCCGATATTAGGAAGCCAATGGAACTATGCACTTTTAAATCTAGATTGAAAACTTGTAACTTTAGAACTGCTTTTTGTGTTTAGTTTGTTGTCCTTCCCACGCACCTCCGATTATCACGGTTGGTTACATATGGTGCGAAAGAAGTTAAACATACATACATATATAAAATGGACATCACTCATGTATGATACGTTATATGCTGTACCTATATGAACCACGTAATACTTATATAGCTCTTTGTCAATCTACTCCAAGATGAAGACTTCCCCATACCTAACGTGGTGGTAGTTTGACCACACTTCACCATGCTGGTCATTGCAGACTGGGGAAGAAGGGAACCCAAAAACAGATTTAGATATCACTTGCCACTGATTTTAGCTTTGACCGGGAATTGAACTCAAGCCACCCGGTTTCGTCATACAGTGCACTAACCATTGCACCAACCATCCACCCCACCATGTTTAGATATATACACACTCTGTCAGCAAAGCGTATATTCTTGTGTAAGTTGTTACACAGAGTGTAACTCATGCCACTCGTGTTACTTTCAACACTGCAATAAATATTAGAACGGGGAGTCGATGCCTCACCCACTTTGTTTTTTGTCTCGACATGTCAGCTGGGCTTATTGATGACCGGAAAAATACCCAAGAGTACGGCTGCTCATTGGTCTGAGCATCTGCGTTGTTTCAGAGAAGCGTTTCAAATGCTTGTGTTAAATGTTTGGCTCAAGCGAAGCAATGCGAGACTTATGCAACAAGGCATCTTCAACGGCGGAGGGTTAAGTTTTGGGATTAATATTAGCAACAAAGGAGTGGATGGGTTGCTTCAATTATGACAGCGGTTTAAGGTGCGCATCTTGACTTTTAAAGAGGCTTGCAAAAAAATATATTCCCATTTTTGAATCGGATCATTCTTTGGAAAGTTACCGAAATGCCTCCTTTTCATGTGAGATTGACGCTAATTGCGCGGGGTTCCTGCGTCACCGCACAGACGGGGAGCGCTATTGTGGAAATGCAGAGAGGAGACGGCGTGACGCACATTAGCCACCCCAAAGGCATTTATCGGTGTGCAAAAGAATAGGAAACAGAAATGCAAAAAAGCCAAAATGCATACTTGCATTGAAAA